AGTAGTAGCTGTATAGTCTTCCTTTCTTGGCGCGCTCGGACGACGACAGCGTCGCTATGACGTTAGATCACGGCGACCATGAGAGACTGGTGGCTGAGTCTTACGGGGCAATTCTTCGAGGTCTTGCAACCCTCCTCTTTTCTCATCCTGACTTGGGACCGGCAACGATGGGGTTAGACATTTCAGCGATTACATTAACTTTGTTTCCTTTCTCCTTCATTCTTTCGTGCAGGTTAAATCATCGGTTAACCTTCTGCTGAACACTTTCCCATTCTACTGTATGTTCGTACTCTTGACAGCGGCGACTCAGCAAGCTGGACAGCTAATAGAAGTGCAATTGAAGCAGATAGGTGTGCTGACTCAGGGTGCATTCCTGGGTGACGCAGCACGAGGTGGAAATTGGCACATGGATTGGCCACTCGAACGCTGATATATGGGAGTTGAACTGGTGTGTGATGATGAAGGAACTAAACATTAGTGCTGAAATGTCTTCCTACAAGTCTGTCATCGCACCGCCAGCCAGTCTCTCTGTCAGCCTGCCAGTCAGTCAGTCAAATTTGCTTAAGTGAACCCACAGGTACACACTAAGTTTCCAAAACCTAGATATAACAAAGATGATGGTTAGAGAAAAAGTGCTACGATTAAAACTAAATTCTGTCTTGAAACAATGGCTGTGCAGCAGCTGTCGTTCAGCACAGTTTGACAAGAAGTTTGACTCGCCACGAACCCCTCAACAAAATTATTTCCTTCTGAAATGTGGTCGCTTTATTACAGTTTGCGTGTTTCTCGTAGAGACGTTGTATTACGCCATATCGAATGAATTGTACGAATTTGATATGTCGATGTAAGAAGCTGCTTCGTTCACTCATGCATTTATTCTCATTCATTCACTCGTCCCTTCATCTGCGCATTCATTTTTACGTTGCATCTTCCTACTTATTTTTTTCAGTGTTCGTACATTTATTCATACATGTATTTATTCATACGTTCTTTGATTTTCAAACTCGGCCGTTTCGTCCACCATCGCTATCATTCGACATTATTTTCATCTTCCCCACTATCACATGCCTCTTCTTGTTTTCACATTTTTTGATTTTTTTCCCGTTGTCTTGTCATTACTAGCCCATTTCTGCTTTGACTTTTCCTTCTTTCTTTTTCCATTTTTGTTTTCCAGTTCAGTTTCTCTTTTCGTGCTACTAATTTTCCTCGATCTTTTGCGTCGCATCATCAGGAAAAATTTTGTATGTCCTTGTGTTCTTGTTGACTGTTCAAGCTCTACGAAATAATTTCTGTGGGAAACGATCTTAGAATCGTAATATATTCTGTCTGTCTGTCCGTTACCCCTTACCATGTCCGTTTGCCGAAATTGTACATACATGCATACATACATACATACATACATACATACATACGTACTCTCAATCACTGCTCGGTTGCACGCATGGGCTTACCCCATTAGACATAGTTTTGCACTTATGGCCAAAGTCAGTTGACTTCAACATGTCGCGCGAACATGACCTGAGTATTCTTCAGATTCATTTTCTGTCCCATTTACGTGCTGATGACGTTCGTTCAGCTGTTGGATTTTGATGTTGGGTCTGGTGTTCTTGAGAGGATCAGAACATCGCTCGCACACCGCTAGTGTCTTAAGTAGTACCCATTTATGCTCATCCCGAGATATTCCCAATGTAGTGTCTTAAAAACTCTTCTAGGGCTGCGATAAATAGCTGCGGCGATGTTGTCTCTGTGTCTGAGGCCGTTTTCGATTTTGAACTTGTTTTTGATCTCGTGAATATTCACGCTAGCAGGTACATTCATGCACATCATGGCGATGAGGCTCTGCATCTTTTGTTGATTCCCTGGCTTCTAAGGGATTCCAGTGCAGAACCTTAAGTCGAAGGGCTTCACAAAATCGATCAACCCTAGGCATAGGGAAGCTGATATTATTTGTTGCTCTACCTGGAGCTGATCAATCGTGCTAAATCCCCTTCTGAATCATCGTAGCGCACGTGGTATCGCAGTGTCCTGTTTTGCTTGAAGTCTATTCATCAGTACCTTCGTAAACATAAGCCTGTAGATCTTAAAATCCTGTTTTCCTTTTTGTAGAGTAGAATCACTGATGCAGCAGTCCAAATTTCGGGAATTTCGAGTCTCTTCAGACAGCGTGAAAACAAGCGCTAATATCTTGGTCATTGCTTCATCTGCAGTTTCCACGAGTTCCGCTGTGATGCCGTCTTTGCCATGAGACCTTCCTTGCTTTGTATGTTTTATTACATGTCCTACTTCTTCTGATGAGACATCTGGAATTTCGTACACTTTATTTGTATCCCCAGGTTCCTTATAGCCATCCAGAGTCTTTCTGTTTTCATCTGTACGGTTTTCTGTAGAAATTTCACAGACTTTGCAATGTATCGTTTGTCTCTGGTGATAGATCCACCGTCAGTTTTCGATTTAACTTCTTCATGAATAAGTATTTCCTTTAAAAATCTGCAGTAAAATGCTCGGATGTATTCTTCCATTTACTAACTTAAAGTTATGCAAAGTTTTACGTATTTGAACTTTGATTTCTGACCTGTTGCTGTATTCATTTTCCTTTATTTTTTTAACCAGTTCATTCGTTTGCTGTGAAATTTTTGGGTAGACCTTTACAGTCCTTCTTTCATGATGTTTTCCGGCGTGTTTCTGTGGCTTCCTTTGTCATATCGTGATGCATTAGATTGCTGTCTACAGCATCTGTTTTGTTTTCTGCTTACAACTTCAATTTTCTACTTACTTTCTCCGTATAGCACGTGGAATTAGTTTTTCAGTTCAAGTTTACGATGGTGAGAGATTATTCGTTGGTGTATCTTCATCGAGTATGTTGTGTTTTGCCCTCAACATCGTTTTGTTCTTTAAAAAGATGAGTCCAGGAGCATTTTGCAAACGAGCCTCTAATTTTTTCCTCATTTATTTCTAAATAGAATCAAACCTATTTAACTGTGCGATGTTCTGCATGTAGTTGCATGTTACAGCTTACGAAATTGATTTCGTTCTTGACGTAGTTTTTTGATCTCTTCATGTTCATCGTTTGCCAGGTTTTTCTGAAACCGGTGTTCATTATAACTTGTTCGTTTCAGAATACTGCACTAGTCGGTCATCCTTGTTGTTCGATTCGCCGTAATAACCAAATCCGCTTACAGGGAGTTTTTTTGTTCCTGTCATACTCCCGATGACCTCACAAATTATGAGCTTGTAATGGCTCTTTCCGTGGTGATATACTCCTATTTCGTAAAACTTTTCATTCTCTTCATCCAGATGACTTGATGTTGGCGCTTATATGTGGATTACTTGAGATTTATATGCCTCTTTGCAACTCAGAGGACCAGTCTTACGTTATTTTCTGACCTGCTGTTCACCTGTATTGCATTATTCTTTAATTTTCGGTATCTAATGAACCCTTCTCCCCCCTTTTTACCATTTCCTGATCTTCTGTAAGACAAAAGGTGTCCACTATTAAGTTCCAGCAGCCTCTTTTTTTCATCTAACTTTGGTGAGTGCTACAATAAACAGCGTGATTTTCTTAAGTTCTTTTTCCAAGAGGGCTTGTTTCACATGGAAATGCTCTGCAGTGATACGTTGGCAGCGTAAATAGACA